ATTAGTAGCCTTTGCCAGTATCCTGTACTGGTATCCTCTATTCCGGTACTAGTATCCTCTAATCTAGTATCCTCTACTCCGGTACCCTTTGCCAGTATCTTGTACCAGTATGCTGTACTAGTAGCCTTCACTCCGGTACCAGTATCGTCTACCGGTATCCTCGACTCCGGTACCAGTAGCCTTTACGCGTATCTTGTACTATTAGCCTCTAGTCCGGTACCAGTATCCTTTACCAGAATCCAGTACTGGAATCCTCTATTCCGGTACCAGTATCCTCTACTACTATCCTCTACTCCGGTACCAGTAGCCTTTACCATTTCTTCGGTACCCGTATCCCTCACCAGTATCCCGTACGAGTATCCTCTGTTCCGGTATCAGCATGTACTAGTATCCTGTACTAGTATCCTGCACCAGTATCGGCTATTCCGATATCCTTTATTAGTATCCTAAACCCTTAGTAGGCCAATTTGGGCAAAACCCAGGTCAAATCCTACTTGAACCCAGGTTGAACCTTACGGCAACTCCAAGAAACCCATGTTTGAAAATAAGTTTCATTTCCATTCCTTCCAAAAATTTGTCCCCGCACACGAAGCAGGATCAATAAATCCAAAACCCCCAAACCCCAAACCCTAAATCCAAAACCCCTACACCCTAAACCCGAAACCCCTAAACCCCAAACCCTAGACCCCAATCCCCAAACCCCGAAACCCCAAGACCTTACAGGCTGTCACAGAATCCTGAGCCCTGAACTAGCCAAGTGACTCGCGAAAATATTCGTTAAGTGACCCGAAACGGTGCGGGATCCAAATCGGCTAAACGACCCGGAAAAAGGTTGGCTAAGTGACCCCGGCACCCTTCAAAGAATGAACGAGTGATAGCTGGACATATACCTCCTGCAGATTGTCATTTTTGGAAGCGACACGTTTCGCTTGGCATGGCTTAGGCTCTTGTGTTTTGTCTACGCTGGGTTCGAGTCATAGGCTAGCGCAGGAAGCCCCCATTGCAGTAATCACCCTGTCCTTGAATAATGGTTTGCCCAGAATTCGCGAGGTGCCTTTGCTATATCTAAGTGGGGATGTCTTGCGGTAGTGTCTGACTTCGTCTGTGGAGGGCGCAACACCTTTGCCGAGCTGGAGTACAGTTCTTCAAAATGATTGTTCGACCTGTAGCTAACATTAGATTCAGCAGACACAATGAGAGCCACAATGATACATAGATACATGTATATTTCTTTTTGGGACCACTGTCTTGAAGTCTATTGGGTTGTGGATAAATTGACTCATGCAATTACGGTAGGAAGCAAGATTATATAGCATGCGCCCATATTCTGGTAACATAGCCCTAAACCGTATTCCCTTTAACCCTTTTAAAGGGTTTCCAATTCTTGTACCTTAATCTACATCTCGCAACAGCAACCCACCTGAACCGAAAATCCTCAACCTCAATCCCACAAGTTCCCTAACAGCAGCCCGGTCCAAGTTGCTAGATTTTAGCGCTGCAGTCTATATTTCCTACACAATTTAGTGGACATAGGTTCCTTATTAAGGGATATAGTAGGGACTATATTATCCCAAACTACAAGAGGGACCTTATGTCCACCTCTACCCTGGGGGTCAAAGACGATAAAAAACATTGTCTTTGTTATGGGGCCCTTTTTCGGGTGGTTTCCTGGGGGTAGTAATTCGCTGAAAAAATACACCGATAAAAACACGATCAGAATGAAATT